TAGAGCATAAGCCTAACGTACTTCAGAAGTATGCTAAGCATACTTAGTTCCTCAGATATATGTGTAGCGTATAGGTTGGTATGCCCAACGTACAAAAGGAAAAAGCACATCCTCCATTAAGTGCTTAATACATGAGGACTTTACGTTCCAATTTCAGATCTAGGTTGTTTAAAGAGTCCTAAGGCATAAAGTTGGCTACTTTATGCCTTTGCATGCCATATATGCTCCCAACAACTCATCCTAACCCATTAACACCTTTCCAAGGGTCTTAACTCATGCATGGAGCCATATAAACCATCAAGTTTGCATTTTTATTACATTATCAAGCTAAAGTACCTCAGATCTATCCTTCCTAACCTCTGGAGTTGCCGAAACTCCCAATAGATAATTTATGAAGTCGAAAGAGGACTCTTAGAAAACCCTAGCCCAATAATCAACAAGGATTTGCAAGGAGAAAGATTTTTTTTTTACCTCCACAAGCTTCCTAAGCTACTCCAAATGCAAGATCCAAAAGCTTTTCCCACGATCAAGCTTGCTTCCTCTTTCTTCACATCGCTAAAACACCAAAAATGAGGTATTTGAGGCACTTACAAGCTCAAGAGGCACACACAAAGGTTTTAGGGTTTTTTTAAACGATTGAGAGTGATGTAGGCTAGTTAGGGTAAGGTCTAAATGACTTAAGAACATTTATATAGGTCACAAATCCGGAGATTAAGGTTTTGGCCTTTAGCCATGTACGCCCCACGTACGTGGTACACCTCCATGATAAGCCCCTACAAGTGTGCTAAGTGTACCCATAGGTATGCCCAGGGTACAAAGGGACCAATTATGCAATGAAATTTCATTTTAAGGGAAAGAAAGGTAAATACCTAGATTCTGAACCTTACAAATCTCCCCTACTGGAACTAGACTACATCCTCGAAGTCTGTTGATGCAAAAAAATCTAGATAATGCTTTCTCATCTCGCCCTCCGACTCCGATGTCCATTTGGAGCCTCTCTGGTGCTGCCATTGCACCCTCACTAGCTTCACCTCTTTTTTTCGAGGTGCTTTAGTCTTCTATCTAGAACTATAATGGGCTTCTTAACATACTTTAGGCTCTCATCCACCCAAATATCATCTAATGAAATGACTGTAACCTCATTGGATACATACTTTCGAACCTGATACACATGGAAGGTGTTATGGCTCTAACTCAACTCATTAAGAAGATCCAACCGATACGCAACCTTTCCAACTTAGGTAGAAGTCCTGAATGGGACAACGAACCAAGGCCTCAACTTTCCCCTCTTCCGAAACTGAATAACACCTTTCCAAGGTGACACCTTCAAAAACACAAAATCTCCCACCTGAAACTTGAGATCTGATCGGTGCCAGTCAGCATAACTTTTCTAATAGCTCTAAGCAATACGCAGTGTATCGCGCAGCTGCTGAATCAATTAAATAGTCTTAAGCATCCTTTTGGTGCTTCCCAAGACTTGATTCCCTACCTCCCACCAACAAACTAGAGTCCTATACCTTCGACCATACAACATCTCCAATGGGGGTCATTCAATACTAGCATGCTAACTATTGTTGTAGGAGAATTCTGCTAGAGAAAGGTAAGTATCCCAACTCCCTTTGAAGTCTAATATGCATGACTGTAGCATATCCTCAAGCTTTTGGATCGTCCACTCGCTCTGATCATCAATCTTGGGTCGTAATCAATGCTGAAATGCATCTGAGTACCCAACTCCTCATGAAACTTCCTCCAGATTCTGGAGGTGAATCAAACATTATGGTCCGAGACCACAGATACCGGCACTCTGTACCTGACCACCACCTCCCGCACATAAATATCTGCTAATTTCTCGGCGGAGATACTCTCGGAAATCAGAATAAAATGAGCACTTTTGGTCAACCTATCCATAATAACCCAAATGGAATTAACACCTTGTGTTGTCCTAGGCAATTTTGTGATAAAGTCCATGGTGATCTCCTCCCAATTCCACATGGGGATGGGTAGCGGCTGAACTTTGTCGTGAGGTCTTTGACGCTCGGCTTTGACCTTCTGCAGGTCAAACACTGCTAAAAAAAGCACACAACTTCCCGCTTTATTTAGGGCCACCAATAGTTTAATCTCAGGTCTCGGTACATTTTCATGGATTCCAGATGGATAGAAAACTTTGACTTATGATCCTCCTCCAAGATCTTTTGCCTCACTCCCCAAATGCTGGAACCCAAACCATGCCACACTGAGTTAATAACCCCCGTTTGTCTCAAACAAACAATGGAATCTACCCCTGAATATAGTCAGTTGTCAAATTCTCCTTTTTCAAACCCTCCACCTATTCCGTTTTGATCATGTCCATCAATGTTGAGGTAATCGTCATGCTCAAACAAACATCTTGGATCGGAGCACTTGTCGCCTTGTAACTCAAAGCATTGGCCACCACATTGCCTTCTTGGGATGAAACAAAATCTTGCAGTCATAATCTTTTACCACATCTAATCATCTCCTATGTCTCATATTAAAATTTTGCTAATTTATAAAATATTTCGAACTTTTGTGATCGGTGAAATTGGTGCGTCGGACCCGATATTAATATTGCCTCCAAATCTTGAGGGCGAACACCACCACCCCCAATTCCAAGTCATGAGTTGGGTAATTTGCCTCATGAGGCTTCAGCTACCTCGAGGCATAAGCAATCACATGCCCCCTACTACATCAGAACAACTCCCAAACCCGAAATAGAAGTGTCACAATACACCACGAAATCATCTAATCCCTCGGGTAGCACCAAAATCGAAGACTCAAATAATTTATGTCTCAAAGTTTCAAATGCTATTTGCTGATCTCGAACCCACTAAAAGGTCACACTCTTCTCGGTTAAATAGGCCAAAGGTAAAACAATCTTGGAGAAATCCTGAATAAATCTCCGATAGTACCCCGTTAAACCCAAGAAACTCCGGATCTCAGATGCGTTCTTCGGAACCTCCTATCATGTTACTACCTTAATCATAGCCAGATCAACCAAGATACCCTCTTGGTTGATGATGTGACCCAGAAACTGCACCTGACACAACAAAAACTCACATTTGGATAACTTGGCATATGGCCTCTCGCTCCTCAAGGTCTCCAACACCTCCCTCAATTGCTACTCCTTGGTCTTAGAATAGACCAAGATATCGACAGTGAAAACGATCACATACTGATCCATCATCGGCTGTAACATCCCAAGTCCTAGTATTCCTTATAAGTCCTTTTTGGTGAACTATCAAGTTTATCCCTCAATGAGAAAAGGTGGAAAATGAGTATGTGGGGCATACACGAGTGTATGCTCAACGTACTCATCTACGTGTTTGTGATGCGGAAGGCACCTAGTATGCTGGGCATACCAGAGGGTACGCTACGCATACTAGGTCCAGAGTGAAAACCCTAATTTAGGGCGAGTCTCGTATATAAAGGATATGATGGCATCATTCTCGATCACCATTCTTAGACAACAAACTCTCTTAAACCCTAATCATTCGTTCATAGAGCTTGTGATATGAGGAGTGTGTATGTTTGAAATGAGCAACTAAATCAAGAAATCCTCCAGATATTTCTTTATATAGAAGGTTGCTGGAGCAACTTGTGAGTTTGAAGTGATATGTGCATTGGTTTGTATGATGTGGATAAGGTTGGACTAATGAGAGGATGACACAAGGAAGGCAACTGGGAACACTTGACCCACTTGTGGGGTAAATATCCTCTTACTATAAAATAATGATTTTTAATTAATAAATCCTTGAGAAATAAATAAAATATGAGTTTTGGGGGTTTAAAATGGTAAAAATATGAATTTGGTGAAAAATCCCCGTCAAAAACGTCAAAAATGGGCTTAACAGGAGAAAGTAGTTAAAAATCGGACATTATGGAACGAACTTGCGAGGTTCGGCTCTTAGAAGGTGAGAATCGAGAGGAAAAGAGAAGGAACCGAGAGAAGAGAGAAGGGACCGAAGGTGCGAAGTGGGGGAACTAAAGGTGCGAGGCTCGACTTCTGTTGTCTGCGAGGTTCGGTCTGAAAGGGATATGGAAGCGAAATAGACTGAGGGCTCGGTCTATATCGGCTGTAGGAGGCTCAGTTCGACTGCAGGCTTCGGTTCGGATGTTCGGTTCTGATAGACTCGCTTCTAAAAAGCTCGATTCTGAGATGGTTCAACTTTAAGAGGTTCGGTTCCTAAGAGGGGTTTCGACTCCTAAGAGGGGTTTCGGCCCTAATTAGCTGTTTTTCGATATAACTCCCCGTTTCAAGCGGTGTTTGGCCAATTTGAGGGTCGGGATGACCCAATGATTATAAAAAGTTTGAGAGAGATTCACTTTTAGAAATTATCATCGAATAATCTTGCAGTGCAAGGTCCGTGAACCCCGTTATACTTCGTTTATGATTATTTTAAGTCCCCAAAAGGCTCCTTAGTCGTGTTTTGATGCGTTTAACTCCCTTCTCAGGGTTTCACATTAATAAACACATAGATTTACTAAGACACTCGAATTCTTGTCATACAAATGTATGTTTTCATAGAATAACTTTTAATCATACAAGTACTATACAAGATTGACTGGTTTGACTTGTTGACTTTGACTTTAACTTGAATTTGATGAAACAGTCGAGAAGAATTAAGAATAGCGGACCGTATGTGTCGATAGCAATGAACATGGTATGCATAATACATATTTACAATCAGATTTTTTTCCTCGACACTAATCCGGTTTCCCAACTTCATATTTGGATACCATCCAGACTCACCATATGGAAACAAAACTGGATAATTTAGAGGTATATAAGTAGGGTGGAGTTTACTAATATGTTGAGGAGGACCAGTATTGGAATGAATCACAATGCTATAACGCGAACCGACCATATCATCACCAGTAACAATGCAACCTAAAGATCCAGGTGTAGGTAAATCATACCTACAATCAGCAATATCATTAAACAACTAAACTGAATATGATGGCATATTAATTTCATCAGCAAACTATTTTGCAGTCTTAAAAATCCGCACATATGCATTATTGTTTCTTAAAAAGGACACCAGAACCCTAACAATGCCCTCGTCTAGAACATTTGTCCGAGGATTTTGAAACGATATCAACTTGTTCTGAACTTCATTATCTGTATCATAAAGATACAACTGGAGAAATCTAGGCCCCTTTACAGCATCCGGGGAGAGCGAACCGATCCTATGACTAATCTGGCCTGAAATCTTGAAAACATAAGGACAACAACTATCATTTACTTCATCATCCACATTATCTCTAAAAGAAGTCATAGAGAACATACTATTATAAGCTCTAATGTCCCTCAAAAAACTATCATTACGAAAAAGAGACATGTATTCAGGTGGAAGCTTAGAAGTATAGGGCAGAATAACATCACCAGACTTACAACAACGACTATATCTCGGACGATGAGGTGCAGATAGCTTCATGCTCTTTTCAGAAAGCCAGAAATATGCTCCACAAAACTTGCAAACACAATCACAATCCCCAATGTCAAAATATTGAGAAAGAACAGGCCTTACCCGCATCCGCCCTGGCGGTCGGCCTCAACGAGCAACAGGAGGAACCGGAACAACCGATGATGACCCACCGGTGCGAGCAACAACCAAGAGACCAACATCACCACAAATTTGTTTCCGTAGACCATACATAACCAACTGCAAATGCAACAAAAAACCAGCACGCGCGAAGACGTAGGAAGGAAAAAAACTGCACTGGGGAGAAAAAAACAAAAACAAACCAAAAAGAACAAAAGAAAACCGAATAGAAAACGAAGATTTTACCTGAAAATAGAGGACTAAGAAAATGAAGGGAACAGAGAAGACCAATATGACAAAAAGTGAAAGAGAAGGAAGGCTATGAAGAAACAAACATAAGTCAAAGCAGAAATATCTAGGATGGAGATAAACGTAAAACGACAAGATAACACAAGGGGAACACATGGGTTTAATTTTAAAATAAAAGGAACAAATAACACCCAAAAGACAATTAAAGAACAAATAAAACCCCCTTCAAGAAAAAATAACACCGAATGGCCATTCTTGATAAAAAACAGACAACTTCACTATTCATAAAGATGGTCACCTTTAATATATATATATATATATATATATATATATATATATATATATATATAAGCGTAATGTTTACAAAAATAGTGTTTCATAAACCTTATTAAAAAATCAATGCTTCCTAAGATCAATGACATAAAATCAGGATGTGTATGGTCACGCCTTCGCATTACCACGATACTCTGAACTACCTGAAACCATAAACCAAAATCTTAGTGAGTTCCCCCAAAGTACCAACACACAGACAAATAACATATACCAACAAATAGCATGCATATAGGGCCTTCAGCATGACTGGAATCCCCCCCCCCCCCCAATCAACCTATAATATATTAGGTATGCCCACAGAGCCTTTAGTCTGTTAGGAACGCCCCATCGGCCTACAGTATATTAGGTACGTTCATAGAACGTTTAACATGACTGGTAAGCCACAACAGGCCTTCAGTCTCTCTGGACTGTTCTCCGGGCCTTTCGCCCGACTGATATACCCCACTATCCTTCTGTCTATCCAGGCTGCCCAACGTCTATTGGCCTTTAGCATAAAGCATGACAACATCAACCCAACCACTCATAAACCATGTCAACATATACATAAACACATGCAACCAGTAAACATATAGCCAGAACAGATAACAAGCATATCTTACAGATCACTAAGCATAGCATCATCCAAGCTACCATGATACAGATCTAATAGATCAGTACAACACTCAATCATACGATAAAACAGGATAATAATCCAAAGGGCCGACCTTGGTGCCTTTGACTCGCAAGTACAATTAGGAAAGCTCACCTTGCACTACCAAACCACATAGACGATCCATGGTTGCTGGCTAACAGATTCCCAAGCTGTCAATAACAAAAGAACACCTAATCAACATTTGGGTTCCATTTCCTAACCATAAATCCATACTAGGGGTAAAAAGTCCATTTTATCCCAAACCTAGCTTGGTCCAAAACTAAGGCCCAAACTCCCAATCTGAAATACCAAAAAGCTAGATAATTAACCAATGCCCAAGTATGGCCCAATTTTCCAAATTAGGCCCAAACCCATTACATGGGCCTCACCCTAAATCCCAACCAGTTTCCTAGTCCAAACACTTGTATTTAGATGACCTATTAATAACTCAATCACCCAAGCCCAAAAGAAATCCCAAACTTCAAAACCAAATGCAAAATCTCATATGACTGAGTATGCCCCATGTACTCAGTGGGTACACTAAGCGTACGCCCAAGAAACTTAGTACGCCCCGCGTACGAGGAGGTACGCCTCGCGTACTAACCCTACCAATAACCAACCTGGAAAATGACTTAATCCCTTAATCCAAAATGTCTAATGCTAAGATCTAGATCCAAAACACGCCTTAATCCATAACGGTGTTAACTTTGAAGTTTTACATGGCTCAATGCGTCCCAAATCCAATTTCTTACTTTACAACTTAGTTAAAAAGGCTAAAGATATCAACTATCAAGAGCACATTTTTATGTATTTAGGACACCTAAAACGTCTAGATCTAGTGTTTAAACTCTTAGGGAAATCTCAAACTCATAACTACAAACCAAAGGGACCAAAAACCACCCCAAACAAGATCTAACCAAGGGATGCCAAGATGAGAGCCTTTTACCTTCAATAGATGGAAAATGATGAGAAAATTCTTGATCTACAAGCCCCACTTCAAAAGATGATCCTTCAACAATCTTAAACCTCTTCAAATAATCAAGAACACTCCAAAATCACACAAAAAAGCTTGAGAACTCCAAAATGGTGGCTAAGGGTCGAATATTAGGGTTTAGGACGTTTAGAGGCTGATAAGAGTCAAGAATTAAGAAGATAAGATGTTTAAATATGGGTAAAACCCAAAAAATGAGGGTTTTTAGCTGAAGGGAGTACGCCCCGCCGCGGGTGTTAACTTACTAGTTTCTATAGGTTACTAGTGTTAGCTTACTAGTTTCTATAGGTTAATTGTTACATACTTTAGTGTTAACTTACTAGTTTCTATAGGTTTGAGAATGTTGATGTTTTAAGTACATAATTATTAAATGATGATGGTGATATTAGAGATGTGGATGATCTAGATAAAATAATTGGATGCCTTGGTTAATGTGGACTTGGAGGAAGATTTCATGGCTTACATAATATAATGTTTCAAACATTGATAGTTTTGAATTCTGACTTTTAATATTAATTTTATGTATGTTTTATGTTTATATATATTAATTATGCATGATATAAAAATACCGATATCCCACCTTGATAACCTATATCCAAAATATCGGCCCTTGACCGTTATTTGATTTTGGACCGCTATAACGGCCTAGGCCCCACGTACCCCTTAGTACATCTAACATACTCAAGGCACCATCACGACCTGACTAGGCACTATGCCCCACGTACGTGGTGAGTATGCCCTGCGTACTCAACCAAGCTCCAAACACTTAAAACTTCGTTTGGCTATATCTCCTTCATCCGAAGTTCGTTTCCAATGAACTTTATATCTTCAGAAAGGTGATGAGAATCCCTACACTTCTATCAACTTACCTTCGCCTAATAACTTCCCGAACAAAACCCAAAATTCATAAAGGACCGAGTTATCAAATTACATTTATACCCTTGGGCTCCAAAACGCAAACAGACACTCGGATTACTTAGACTATACGTAACATGCCAAAAATACAGGCCAAAAATTCCGTTTTTAAATAAGTTATTATAAAACCATAAATAATAAAACATCCATAATAACATCTCATGTTAAAAACCAAATTAGAAATAATTAAAAAATGTTATCATAAAACAATATCAAAGTGTAATCCCCAAGATCTCATATGTGAAAATATAGTGTGATGCGCTACGATCAAGCCAACTCCTTTCCTTTGAAAACGAAGTACCTGATACCAAAACTGAAAACCGTAAGCACAAAGCTTAGTGAGTTCCCACATCATACCAAATACCATACATAACACATACTGCCAGGCATATCTGAGTGTCGGCCTCCCCTTCGGTCAATTTCAACCGGATATCTACCTAGCATATCTGGGTGTTGGCCTCCCTTCGGTCTATTTCAACCGGATAACTGCCTAGCATATCTGGGTGTTGGTCTCCCCTTCATTCTATTTCAACTGGATAATTGCCTAGCATATCTGGGTGTTGGCCTCCCCTTCGGTCTGTTTCAACCAGATAACGAGGACTATTTCACCCCTACCACTACCACATAATAACATGTATCACATATCATCCTAGCACACAAACAAAAAATTCCTACTGGTGGGCCGACATTATGGCCTTAGACCCACTCCTACTGGAAGGTAACTCACCTCGAATGCAGAAGCTTCCTGAAGAAATCCTTGATGCTGCCCTGTCCACTTCCCGAGCTATCAATACCAATCAATATACCCAATTAGCAATTGGATCCCATACCAAAATCCTTAATCCATGCATGCAGTAAAATGACCATTCTACCCATGGCCCAGTATGATCTGGAACTAAGGCCATAACCTAAACAAAAGCCCAACACTATAATGTCGATAATCCCGTCAATGGCCCGATTTTCTAAATTGGGCCCAAACCTCTATGTGAGTCTTTCCATGAGGCCCCATTATTCTTTCCAGTCCAATACACTTCATTTTCTAATGGCCCAATAATAATCCAAACACTTAAACCCAAAATGCAAAAAAAAAAAAAACACTCATGGCTCGATCCATGGCCCAATTTTCCAAATTGGACCCAAGACCAGAATGGGCCTCCACAAAAAAAATATCAACCCAAAACCTGATGGCCTAATAGTGCCCAAAACAACAAGCCCAACAATGCTCAAGGGACTTTTTACGTCATAAAGTTTCCAACTTTATGACTTAGCATAACTCAATGGGGCCTAAATCTAAAACTTAAGTTCCAAACTTCATTAAATGACTACTAAATCATGCATGGAATGTTTATACCTCTCAAGATCTAAAATTTATGACTCCATAACCTCAGTAAGGACCAAAATAATAGGCTCAAAGGTTCTAGAGTAGCTTCTACTCACAAGAACCACCTTAAAGGGACCAAAAACCATAACAATGTACCACTTAGCTAGATCTACATGAAAAAGTTGTCAATGTTGAGACTTTATACCTCCAGAAGATAGATCTAGGTACAAAAATCTTGGATCCAAAAGCTCCAAGTCAAACAATGACTCCTCAAGAAGTTCCTTCTTCCTCTTCTAGCACCAAAACATACCAAAAATCACTTTGAAGCTCTACAATCACTCAAATGGGGACTAAGGGTCTATTTTTACGGTTTGGAGGGATGGAGGATGAAGGTATAAGGGTTAGGTTATGAGATAAGGAGCTTAAATAGGGTCCAAGACCCTAAAATAGGGTTCTGATCTGACTGGCGTACGCCGAGCGTAATTCTAGTACGCCTCGCATACTCTTTGTGTACGCCCCACATACTTGGTTAAGCCTAAAAACCATGAAAC